TTACCGTATACATTACAGTAGTTCTGGATCTTCCTGGGTTTTTGTCTCATCCCATCATGGCCATGGCTGCCAGACTCGCAAGGACATGTCTGCGCAGTCGCCGCCATAGCTCACCTTAGATGACCCGAAACATGACCTTCGAAGGGAAACGCATGGGAAATGCATGGGAAATGTTAACCTCAAATCCAAGTTTCATGGGATAGTGGGGCTATGAAGGGTGGGGTCTGGATAAGCCTGAATAAGCCATGGGTAAGCAAGGATCATCATTTTTTGAAAGAAAGGTGAATTCCTGCATGTTCATCGCAAGTTTGGGAGGTCTAAGAGTGACTTGACCTGTTTTTTTGGGGTGGGGGTTGCGGGGCTAAGGAGCTTATTAAGGTTTAATACGGGCTTAATAGGGGCTTATCCATCCAGGCTTAAATGAACCGCCAAGGCTAAGTCCTGGAGCCAGTATCACCAAGCTATTCTGCACAGCCATCCCCCCATCCAAAATGATCCCTGAGGACCCCAGATTCCTAAAATTCAGGAAACATGGTGAACACACACATCAACATCACTGCAAAAAATCCCATGTCCGGCTTGTGTCTTGTGGCTTACATCATCTATTTTTCATTTATTTGGATAAGCACTGGAGATTCAGCCATGGGGAATAATGCCTAAGGCCAGAAAGGATGACCTGAAAAATGGCCTTACTAAGGGTTTATCATGGTTTATCATTACCCAGCCAAACCTCAGGACTTCAAATGATAAGCTCATCCTCCATAGCCCTCCTATCCCATGAAAGTTGCTGAGGGTGCTACGGCAGGGGATAATGCCCAACGTATCCCTGTATTGAATACTTAGCTACAACCTCATATAAAGCAAAATGCAGGGACGTATTCTTGTAGCAATTTCTTGCCCATATTCCAGGGCCGAACATATTCCATGCCAAAATAGCTGGGAAATTTCAGGGAATTGCGAAGACCCCTTTCAGGTGAAATTTGAGTTTTCATACAGTTTGCCAATTACTCCTTTTCTTCTGGCACGTACGTTGTCGACTGCACATGTTCTTCCCCAAAGAAGATCCTTACTTTCAACAATTTCTGGAAATGTCATAATTAATAATGTTGAGCTTTCCAAAAATGGATTAATAATGTTCTTATGGGAATTTGTCATCTACACTTTTCAGGATCTCAAAACCCAATTCATAAGCTTTAAGCTTATGTTCTGGCACGCTTGGCTGGCCTTTCATCAGCAGCGCGATCCCCATCTTTCTTGACATCTTTGTGGCCCCGCAAAGAGCTCTGCACAACAGGATCTGGGAACACAAATCATCGACGATCCTGTTTTCTTCCGTGCAAATTAATCCCACCGATAGAGTACGATGCCACCCCTGGAGTGCGCTAATTTTCTGGAATGCGAAAATAAAACAGTATGCGTGGCCCCCTTCGACCTTCCCCATGGATCCAACACCAGTTTTTCCCATCATATACCAGAAAATTATCACATTTCACCCTGCTGAGCTTTTTTTTTTCTTTTTTTATGTTTGGTCATTTTTGGCCAAAATGGCCTGGAATGCGATAGTATGTGAAACTACAGAGACGTCTCACGCGAAACCGCTACCTTGCCCATATTCCAGAAAACGTGATTCCAGGCGATTTTAGCCAAAAAAAAAACGAAAAAAAAAAGAAAAAAAACAGAAAAAAAGAGAAAATCACCGAGTACGAAGATTTTATGGAGTACGAAGATCTTGCAGAGCGCGTGGATTTTACAGTATGTGTACGTCCCTAGCTGTGGAGTGCGATGCCCTCGCTGGAGTGCGACGAATTTGTGGAATGCGAAGAATTCCGAGTATGCGTGGCTGGTATAGAGACCACATAGGGAAATTTCGGGGCCAGAACCAAAATTCCAATCCCAAAGCCAGCCCAAACTTCCAGGGGCACACCAGTGGGTTCTATTTTTCCGAGTTCACCGGGGAAGAAACTTGCTAATTTTTACTCAGCCAACCTTTGAAAACGTTACCTTTGACAACCCTGTCCTTCTTCGGTAGACAAATGAGGAAACTTCCTTATCAAAGCAGCCTTCAATTCATTCAACGTCCACAGCTGCTTTGGAACGACATAGGGGATAGAAAGCTGTGGAGGGGCATTCAGTGGATTCGCCGTGGGCCAACTGTTCCCTCCAGATTGAGCTGAAATGCCTATCAAAGTAACATACCAAAACCCAGGTCTGGAGTACGATGAAAACATGGTATGCGAAGATTTTCTGAATATGGGAATGTTGCCTCTAGAATTCTATGTGCGCCTTGCTGAGGAACTAATATGTGCATAACTGTATAATTAACAACAATAGCTTGAGATAAAACACTGGTTTGAAATAACCACCTAGAGTTCCTTTGGGACAAGGATCAAACCATAATATGTTCTCCCATATCATACCATGTACTCTCCCAAAACAAGGGTCAAACATTGCCCCGAACACGTCCCAATTTGTGTTGCAAGAAACTTGGTATTTGGAATGAAGGGTGAATTTGGTAAATGGATATCCACATTGATTGGAGCGGCTCAACTCATTCCACAAATTGGACACCCCTTTATATCCATCATCAGGCCTGACAGAAATGCTTTAGTCTCTGGTAACTCACCTGAGAAATAGACGTCCATCTCTTCTCAAGGATGTAAAATCCGTATAATTCCATCCTGATATATGTAAAAAAGGGAGATATCCACAAATATCCAAACATGGCAATGTTGCTCAATGTTGCTATCCAGTGGTGAACAAGCGGTTCGCAGTTCGGAGCGGTATCCATATTCCCTATAAAAAGAGCGAGCGAGTTGGAGCTACTGAGTTTCTCAATCATATGATAGTTTGATAAACAAAGAAACAATCCTTGTTTTTCGATGCTGTTTCGGCTATATGTCAAAAAGGGCGATATCATGGGATGATATCCAGGCATATCCAATATATGGCAATGTTGATCAACAACCAAAAAAACAAGGCCCCACACCCAGGCTGTGTCGTCGGCGGCTTTCAACTGCAAATGTGGATGAGCCTCGGTGACAGGATAGCATGATGCTTGGGAATTGCCAAAATAGCATGAACCAGCTCGTAAGCTGGCAACATCTAGGTATATCAATGTATATACATATTATATATATATTAATTATATATACATATTTATTTATATTATATATATATATATATTATATTTATATATATATATATTATATTTATATATATATATTAAATTATTCAAAATATATATATATATATATATCATATCTTATATCTATGTAATTATGTATGTATATATAACAAATATTAACTATATATATATATATATTAAATTATATATATATATCATATCTTATATCTATGTAATTATGTAAATATATAAGTGAGACTAAGTAAGCATGTCGACCTAATTGCAGTTTTGCACCATTTTGCACTCTGAAAGGCGGCAGTTCGATTCACCCGGGGACTCCCACGCACAAGCAATGCCCTGGCGCTTGTCCCAAGCTGTAGCTGGCTGACATGCCACTGCGAGACCTGAAGCCATGATTGGTTCACCGAACGTATTTGTAGGGCCGGGTCGGGCTCCAGTTATAGTCCAGTTATATAAGATGTTATCGCATGTTAGATGCTCGGGACTGAAGTAACCCAGGGAATCACCTGTGATCCAAGGAAACGACCATTCTGATTGGTGGTATACCTACCAACCATCCTCTCAGTTGGGATGATTTTCCATTCCCATTTTTTGTTTGGAAAGTCAGGTCACCATGGTTCCAAAGCACCAACCAGCGCAGGGATTAGTTTTTAGGTCAGGTCACGGATTCTGCAGTTCGATCCATTGGGGCGCTGCGGAGGGAATCTCTTCACCTGCGGAGGTTTCCATCGGCTCGCTGTTTGGTACAGGGAAATCATGGAAATCTACGCGGAATGAGCCCTGTGGAGAAACTCCCCTCTTCATATGGAAAAAGCATCAGCCTTTCCCTCGATTTACACAATCTGTCAAAAAGAAAACATATTGTTCAGAAATCTTGAAGTTCAAAATATACATCCATAGAATTGAACAGGGATTGAAAATTGCATGACGCATGTATATATGACAAAGAAAAGCAATGCCTCAGCAACTACACCAGTTTCCGACAAAGAGGGTGGACATCTCCTAATTTTGTTCATGCGCCCCAAATGAGAACGCATCCAATCAACGGTGATCAGTGGATATCTGCACATAGCCACAATCACGGTTCCAAGAGCTTTAGATACTTCCAACAAGTTGCTATATAGACATTCACCATACCTCTACCACGATCCAGAGCACACTGTAATGTGTATATATATATATAAATATGTGGATTATACATATCACTACAATAATATATATATATAATATATACCTCTATGGTGTATATAATTAAATAGCGTAAAATGGACTAGTTGGTTTTACTATGCTCCAAGGTAGACAGCGGATAGACACCAGGCCGTGGTTCCAGCCAGGGATGAAACTAGGAAACACTTCAAGGAGGTCTGGCTTTCTTAGCACATGCACAATCTCAAAGCTTGGGGATTGCAAAACAAAACGATATGTAAAACTATATGAACGTCACCTAAACATACCTAAAAAATAATCACAAAAAAACGTGTAAATATCAAGGTTTGAGATTTTGAAAAAAACAAAATAAAAAACTAGATGAACGTCAAATAAGCATCATCACAAAAAGGATTCGGTTTGAAACAAACAAAAGCAGGAGACAAGCGATCAGAAGGCAAAGACACTATTATATTAAGGCTCCATTCCCAAATGACACTCAGAAAATTCAATCTCCCGAAGAGGATTGAGTAAGCTGTGGATGACACATCTAGTTCATGATGGTTCATGGCCAAAGGACTTACACTACTAGTACCTGTCAATTGAGCAGTGTTCAAGAATGGCATATCCAGCCAAGCAGCGAAGTGTTCGAAGTGGGGGACTATCCAACCAAACAGTCGCACATGTCTAAGTTGCAGCATCTTGTACCTCATTGATCCACCTTCACCGCTTCCATCCCCCCAAGTCGTGGGGCGATGGCGGCGATGGCTCCGGAGTGGCTCCGGGGCCCCGTACTGAGGGGATTGATCCCATTGGCAAAGCAATGCAGCCACAATTGCTGACCCCAACCTGTTGGAAGAGTTCCGGGCAATGACCCCTGGTGTGGTGCCACATGGTGGGTTAGATGGGATCGGCTACTGAATCTTCGAACACATCTTGATGACCTTGATCTAAGAGTAGACATTACTACAGTACTGCAATCTGCAATTTCAGTGATGAAAAACAGGGTCTGTGTATCTAAACACATGTTGGTCCAGTGCCATCCACTGATGGGCAATACATATTTTTATAACATGTCTACAGTTGAGACCACCGACCAGTTGTTGAATTGACGAGGAAAATCATAAGACCGAATCCACCACTGCAGACCTCTTTCCTCAAGAGGTGAAGGGTTACCATTTTCCATCCCCAAAACAAACATCAATTCAGTGCTATTACCTCTGCACAAGTACGGATGAAACACAAACCTCGTGTCAAATCACAGTTTTCCGTACATCCCACGATCTCACCATTTCTTCCCTGCAGGTTGATATGTGATGCGTGTTTTTCTGCGTGATACCCTTGCAATACCTTGCAACCCCAAAAAAGGTGTCCCATAAATCCAGGAAAAAAAACGTAACGGATGAAGCAATAATTATATATAAATTACTGTTGCAATATCATGTGGGTAAAACAATAATGAACCATCCCCCAAATCACCATAAATAGGTGGCATAAACCATATTTTACCCACATTAATATAGATAGCCTCGATCAATGTGCAGGTCAATTCCGTGCTGTGATCGACCCTGATGGTGGCGCTTCCGGTCAAATCCCAAGCTTCCGTGTTATAGTAACCTGAACAAAAAATGACGGTACCTAGACCCTGCGAATCCCAAGAAAATGGTGAAAGTACAATTATTGGGTAACAAAAACATCTTTATGGGTACTTGGAGGGTCTATATAGATACCGCTATCTTAAAAGGACATGATTTAAGTCATCTTAAGTCTATGTTTTTGGAGGTTGCTATAAATGAGAATTGCAGCTGCCTGCCACGAAGTCCGTGCGGGAGACGCTGGCGGTAAGTTCTTCCGTGGAGGTAGTGGAGTAGCAAAGGGAAAACCTGCGACACTGAGGTTTATCATCCATCGCCCCCGGAATTTAAACTGTTCCACATTTTTTGTTTGGGGAATACTTAAAATGGAAATAATGCGTAAATCATCAATCGAAATGGATCATGTTCATGATTCTTCCATAGGTATTTGAATCAACAAACGGTATCAACTAGCAACCCCTAAAAAACATGGAAACATATATGGGGTCAGCTGTTTTGCACGTCCCAGTATTTTTTTTTGTGAGCTACTCCGGGGAATCTCTAGGGCATCATCAAAATAAGGAATGTAGTGCAACCCACAGAAAGATGGAAACCTGAAATACGTCTGAATCAAAATTGTGAGCCAGGGTCTCTATGGGTAATCTTAGGCATACGGCTTTAGACAGCCACATAATGGCGATAATTTGATATTCATTATCATAATCAACTCACATCATATAACCAACAAACATTGATGATGCTGAATCTTGGATAACAATGTAATCAGCCAAAAAAAATACGCAAACAAACACGGTATTCAATAGGAGTTTCGACCACATCCACAAGGGAAGGGACTGGAGGTAGAGGTGATGGAGGGTTTATACTGAAGGGAATTTACAGATCTACATGACACAAATATTGTGGCATGGTTGGCAGCTCAGGGAATTGTGTATCACACACACAAAATATGGAAGCAGCTGAGCAACAGGTTCGCTGATATCTCCATGTCCTACCATTTCTCTTGCACTGTTCCCAGTTAAAAACTTGCCAAGCAAAAATGTATAAGTGTAAGGCATTCACAAAACATGCATTTTATAATTTCACGCACTGTCTACCCTGTATATATATACGTATATATATGTATGTATGTATGTATGTATGTATGCATGCATGCATGTATGTATGTATGTATGTTATATCTGTATTATATGATATGTATCATACCTCTATCTCTATGTGACTGACAAAGGGCAAAAGCAGCAATTGTTCGATTTTTGGTCGCTCACTACTTTTCAGTCCAGACCCACAAAACATGCAGTTTTTGGATGTCCAGGCAAGTATATATATATATATATGCTGATATATACACAGTACATACCATCTGGTTATTTAACCGTTTGCCATGGAAAATCACCATGCTATTAATAGACAAACCATGGTAAACCATCTATTCCTATGGGCCATCTATACCATGGCGAACTATAACAAATTACCAGAGGGTAACCATATATTAACCAGTAATTCTACGGTGTGTAAAAATCGTCTCACCACGATGCCAAGGGGCTGATCATCGCAACAGGTGGTGATCACCTCATTCGAACCGGACCGAGATAGGTGGAGGGCGGTGGCTTGATGGAAATTCATGGTGATTTAATGGGATTTAATGGTGATTTTATGGTGATTTAATGGTGATTTTGTGGGGTGTAATGGGATTTAATGGTGACCTAATGGCGATTTTAGTTGGGATTTATGATGATTTGGGTGGTTCTTATAAGTCACCATGAGGGTTCAGTACTAAAATGGCCCAATGGCTTGGATGATTTGGGGCTACCCCCGCTCGAAACCCGCTCGAGAAACCAAAGGGTTGGTCCTAAAAGCTATTATCATGTTTTCAACCACCTCCCCAAACCAAAAAAAATAAAGAAAAATTAGTCACCAGAAATCAAGGGGTGGCTAGAGTTCATGCTGAAAGCCTATTCCAAGTGAGTCGGATCCAAAACCAAACATAACCAAACATAACCAGCCAGCAAGATCATGTAATCCATTGTTATCCTATCCGTTCATATATGAAACACCACCCAGAAACCATGGTGGGTGTAGGCTGGACCTTTGCAGATCTTAGATGATATGCCTAAGTGCGAAGTGCCGAAGTGCCGGCAGCGATTTTTGTTTTTTTGTGGACAAAAACCACGGTTATTATGGCAACATGCTATAACATGCTATAATAGGACCATAGTCTAACATATCTTCCAGAATTTTGGAATATGTTAATATGTTCCATGTTGGGGAATGATTTCCAGAATCGTAACCATTTCTGACAAGTCCCCACCCAGGACAGTGTATCCCCAGGGGATCCACCTCGCAGTGATCCACCTCTTTGGACAACGTGGAGACCTCAGTGAAGGGAACATCTGAACGAGAAACCACAGGAATTTCACCATGAAATTCCATAAGAGCACCAATGAGTAATACGGTACCCTAAAAATCCCAGGGTTGAGTTGTTTAGGTTTTGTTGATGTAGGGTTCATGTTTGTTCCCCGCCTGCCAGGTGAGGGTCTCTAGATTTTAACAAAGGTGCAACTGCCCCTTCCTTCCTCCCTCCCTCCCTGCCTTCCTTCCTTCCATCCTCCTTCCTTTACTCGCTGCCATCACTCCCGTCTTCTTTCTGCACAGTGTAGTGAGCCATATTGCCAGCTCCGGATGCTGTGGGGCACGCCTGGGCCCGAATGCCAGAAAGAATGCCAGACAGAATGTCAAAATAGATGCCAGAAAGAATGTCAGAATGAATTTCACAATAGAATGCCAGAAAAATCCAAAGAGTATGTCAGACTAAATGTCGAATAGAATGCCAGAAAATGTCCGCGCCAGAATGCCAGAACAAAACTAGACGACGGATGGCCCGAGAGCGTAGAGGAGCAGAGTCTTCTGTTGCTAGCTGTTAGTATGGAGACACTATATTACAAGATAATATATTAAAGATGTATTATAGGCAGACGAGAAGAGTAGTATCAAGACAATATGTGACTAGTACAAGACAATAGTTTGCATCGTATTTTTGTAAAATTTTTCATACACAGAACTTTTTACAGACAGTCGCTTTTGCACACAGAGACTTTTACACACAGACGCTTTTACACACAGACGATTTTGCACACAGAGACTTTTACACACAAACGCTTTTACACACAGAGACTTTTACACACACAGCCGCTTTTACACACAGAAGCTTTCACACACAGAAGCTTTTACAGACAGACGCTTTTACACACAGACGCTTTTACACACAGACGCTTTTACACACAGACGCTTTTTACACACAGGCTCTTTTACACACAGAGACTTTTACACACAGAGGCTTTTACCCGCAGAGACTTTTACACACAGACGCTTTTACACACAGACACTTTTACACACAGACGCTTTTACACACAGACGCTTTTACACACAGACGCTTTTACACACAGACACGTTTACACACAGACGCTTTTACACACAGACGCTTTTACACACAGACACGTTTACTTTTACACACAGAACTTTTACAGACAGACGCTTTTACACACAGACGCTTTTACACACAGACGCTTTTACACACAGAGGCTTTTACACACAAACACTTTTACACACAGACGCTTTTACACACAGACGCTTTTACTTTACACACAGACGCTTTTACACACAGACGCTTTTACACACAGACGCTTTTACACACAGACGCTTTTACACACAGACGCTTTTACACACAGACGCTTTTACACACAAACGCTTTTTACACATAGGTTCTTTTACACACAGACGCTTTTACACACAGACGCTTTTACACACAGACGCTTTTACACACAGACGCTTTTACACACAAACGCTTTTTACACATAGGCTCTTTTACACACAGACGCTTTTACACACAGACGCTTTTACACACAGAGCCTTTTACACACAGACGCTTTTACACACAGACGCTTTTACACACAGACGCTTTTACACACAGACGCTTTTTACACACAGACGCTTTTTACACACAGACGCTTTTTACACACAGACGCTTTTTACACACAGACGCTTTTACACACAGAGACTTTTACACACAGAGACGCTTTTACACACAGAAGCTTTTACACACAGAAGCTTTTACACACAGACGCTTTTACACACAGACACTTTTACACACACACGCTTTTACACACAGACGCTTTTACACACAGACGCTTTTTACACACAGGGGCTTTTACACACAGAAGCTTTTACACACAGACGCTTTTACACACAGACGCTTTTACACACAGACGCTTGTTACACATAGACTCTTTTACACACAGACACTTTTACACACAGACGCTTTTACACACAGAGCCTTTTACACACAGACGCTTTTACACACAGACGCTTTTACACACAGACGCTTTTACACACAGACGCTTTTACACACAGACGCTTTTACACACAGACGCTTTTACACACAGACGCTTTTACACACAGAAGCTTTTACGCACAGAAGCTTTTACACACAAACACTTTTACACACACACACACAAAATCGCAATTTTTCCCCAGTTTTTGGCGATCGACCCTCATTTCGTGCGAAAGGGTTGCTCCGGCACACGTAAAATCGTAATTTTTCCTCAGTTTTTGGCGATCGACCCTCATTTCGTGCGAAAGGGTTGCTCCGGCACACGTAAAATCGCAATTTTTCTTCAGTGTTTGGCGATGGACCCTCATTTCGTGCGAAAGGGTTGCTCCGGCACACGTAAAATCGTAATTTTTCCTCAGTTTTTGGCGATGGACCCTCATTTTGTGCGAAAGGGTTGCTCCGGGACAAGTCAAATCGCAATTTTTCCTCAGTTTTTGCCGATCGACCCTCATTTCGTGCGAAAGGGTTGCTCCAGCACAAGTCAAATCGCAATTTTACCTCAGTTTTTGCCGATCGACCCTCATTTCGTGCGAAAGGGTTGCTCCGGCACAAGTCAAATCGCAATTTTTCCTCAGTTTTTGCCGATCGACCCTCATTTCGTGCGAAAGGGTTCACGTTTCGTACTCCCCGCCGGCACCACCCTCGGCCTAAAGAGAGAAAGATAAAGAAGGCGAGAGAGAGAAAAGGGAGAGAGAAAGGAGAGAAGATGTGAAGATGAGAAGGTGAGAAGGTGTGAAGAGGAGCAGATGTGAGAGAAAATGTGAAGATGAGCAGATGTGAAAGAAGATGTGAAGATGAGCAGATGTGAGAGATGATGTGAAGATGAGCAGATGTGAAGATGAGCAGATGTGAAGATGAGCAGATGTGAGAGAAGATCTGAAGATGAACGGATGTGAAGATGAGCAGATGTGAGAGAAGATGTGAAGATGATCAGATGTGAAGATGAGCAGATGTGAAGATGAGCAGATGTGAGAGAAGATCTGAAGATGAGCAGATGTGAAGATGAGAAGATGTGAAGATGAGCAGATGTGAAGATGAGCAGATGTGAAGATGAGAAGGTGTGAAGATGAGAAGATGTGAAGATGAGAAGGTGTGACAGAAGGTGTGAAGATGAGAAGATGTGAAGATGAGAAGATGAGATACAGACCCCCACTATTGGAAGAACCCTGCGCTCAGACGCTCTCGGGAAAAAATATCAGGTAGAATGCCGCGGTGGGGATCACTCAAAGTAAAGTAATTGTTTTTTAATGGACTTTTTCGGTGAAAAAACACTTTTAGACACCCATGACTGGTTCACCAACCAATTGCCTTCCAACAAGATTTAATGATCATGGGTTGGATAGATTTGTAGATTATATATTATATATTACTTATATTATATTAGTTAGTTATTTATCTATTATATATTATTTATTTATTTATTTATGTGAATCTTTATTTATTTTGACCAAACTACTCAATTGGGTGTATGAACTACAAAGCCATGGACATACATCTGTGATGCTGGATTCTGTTGGATCGTCTGAAAGGTCACCCAATACCACGTTCTGTTCCATTTGACTAAACATCCAAACGTCAAATAGTAGGAATGTATTGATGTGTACATAGACATATTTGAGTAAATATGTATATATATATGTAAATATAAATATATATGTATATCTATCTATCTATCTGTCTGTCTGTCTGTCTGTCTGTCTATCTGTCTATCTGTCTATTTGTCTATCTGTCTGTCTGTCTGTCTGTCTATCGATCTGTCTATCTGTCTATCTGTCTATCTGTCATCTGTCTATCTGTCTGTCTGTCTATCTGTCTATCTGTCTATCTGTCTATCTGTCTATCTGTCTGTCTATCATTCTATCATTCTATCATTCTATCTATCTATCTATCTGTCTGTCTGTCTGTCTGTCTGTCTATCTGTCTATCTGTCTATCTGTCTATCTGTCTGTCTGTCTGTCGATCTGTCTATCTGTCTATCTGTCTATTTGTCTATCTGTCTATCTGTCTATCTGTCTATCTGTCTATCTGTCTATCTGTCTATCATTATTTCTATCTATCTATCTATCTATCTATCTATATGTGCTAAATGGATCTCAACAGGTTCATCTTCCTTCTCCCATGCCAAGTTGAAGGGCATGAGATTCTTGACAAATGCGCTGCTGGGAAGTTGTAATCTGCGCCGAAGAATGACGCATGTCGTCCCAAGCATCGTTGGCGTGGAATGGGTTGGTCCAGCCACGTGGGAATCATCCAAGGCAGGAACTGAAAAAAAAACATACATCAGTAATTAAGCAACAATGACACCGCCGGCTGCAAGAGTTTGTTTCATCCTTGCCAGTAATAATATCCTCATATTATAAATATATATATATATATTATTGCTGCATTAAATCCTTCACATCCCATGTTTGATGCTTTTCTCCCTAGCTCCATATACCCTGTGATAGTCAACATGGCAATGGAAATTCACCCATTTAAATATAGTTGTTTTTCCCATTTGTCCATTTAGCTCGGGATTTCCGGCTACTTGTAGCCATGTTTGATAACACCAGAGGGTACATACCAAAATGTATGCAGATATATCCCGGTTCTATCTCCATTATATCCCATTATAGCACCATGTTTGGTCCTTAAATCATGAATGCTCCATCCATTTTCGACGCGTCCAAAATTATAGAACAGATTTTTTTAGATCCCATAAAAAATACTCAGTTGGTTGTGTGAACTACAAAACCAAGGGGATAAATCTGTGATGTTGGATTCTTCTGGATCGTCTGAAAGCTCATAAAACAAGTCACCATTGGCTATAACTGGTTCTAAGATCACACACATTCCATGAAACCATAATAACATCTATGACGAGAAACTGGTTACAACATCTATGTACCCAGTACTAACATTCCATAAGAAACTGCTTTGACTGGGTTTTTTAGTACTTATAACATCTTATACCATATGGTCATTTAACATAGACCCCGGAAATCACCAATTTTTCATGGTTTCACTAGTCTTCCAACCCCGATGACTGCCAGGGTCTATGTTAATTTACCAGAGGGTAATACACTATTAATACACCATATCACCATTAATGTGGGATTCACAAAAAAACTGGCTTTTGTTAGTCCTTATAACATCTAATACCCTCCAGTAAATTAACATAGACCCTGCCAGATAGGGGTTGAAAGATTAGTTTCCTTTAAAAATTGGTGATTTTCAGGGTCTATGTTAATTTACCAGAGGGTAACTGGTATAAAAGGGCCATAAATCTTCTGCATCAACCAGCGTCCCATCTCCGCATCACCCAGCGGCCGCCAGCGTCATGCCGGCACTGGGACCAACGTAGATCTCCCAGTCGTCGACCTGCAAAAATCCAAAAAGGACGCCATGACTTCATCGCTTTATTCGTCATCAATATATGACATAGGCTGGTTTATTGATGTGCTTATAATAGTGATTAATAGTGGTTAGTAGTGGTTAATAGTGGTTATTAGTGATTAATACGTACGGGTTTATTAATGTGCTTATAATAGCGATTAATAGTGGTTAATAGTGCTTAATAGTGGTTAATACTGTTTTATTAATGTGCTTATAATAGTGATTAAAAATGGTTAATAGTGGTTAATAGTGGTTATTAGTGATTAATACTGGTTTATTAATGTGCTTGTAATAGTGATTAATAGTGGTTAATAGTGGTTAATAGTGGTTATTAGTGATTAATACTGGTTTATTAATGTGCTTATGATAGTGATTAATAATGGTTAATAGTGGTTAATAGTGATTAATACTGGTTTATTAATGTGCTTATAATAGTGATTTATAGTGGTTAATAGTGGTTAATAGTGGTGATTAGTGATTAATACTGATACTGGTTTATTAATGTGCTTATGATAGTGATTAATAATGGTTAATAGTGGTTATTAGTGATTAATACTGGTTTATTAATGTGCTTATGAAGGTGATTAAAAGTGGTTAATAGTGGTTAATAGTGGTTAATAGTGGTTATTAGTGATTAATACTGGTTTATTAATGTGCTTATTTTATAATAGTGTTTAATAGTGGTTAATAGTGATTAATACTGGTTTATTAATGTGCTTATAATAGTGATTAATAGTGGTTAATAGTGGTTTTTAGTGATTAATACGGGTTTATTAATGTGCTTATAATAGCGATTAATAGTGGTTAATAGTGCTTAATAGTGGTTATTAGTGATTAATACTGGTTTATTAATGTGCTTATGACAGTGATTAATAATGGTTAATAGTGGTTAATAGTGGTTATTAGTGATGAATACTGGTTTATTAATGTGCTTATAATAGTGATTAATAGTGGTTAATAGTGGTTATTAGTGATTACTACTGGTTTACTAATGTGCTTATAATAGTGATTAATAGTGATTAAAAGTGGTTAATAGTGGTTATTAGTGATTAATACTGGTTTATTAATGTGCTTATAATAGTGATTAAAAATGGTTAATAGTGGTTAATCGTGGTTATTAGTGATTAATACTGGTTTATTAATGTGCTTGTAATAGTGATTAATAGTGGTTAATAGTGGTTAATAGTGGTTATTAGTGATTAATACTGGTTTATTAATGTGCTTATGATAATGATTAATAGTGGTTAATAGTGGTTATTAGTGATTAATACTGGTTTACTAATGTGCTTATAATAGTGATTAATAGTTGTTAAAAGTGGTTATTAGTGATTAATACTGGTTTATTAATGTGCTTATAATAGTGATTGATAGTTGTTGATAGTGGTTATTAGTGATTAATACTGGCTTATTAATGTGCTTATAATAGTGATTAATAGTGGTTAATAGTGGTTATTAGGGATTAATACTGGTTTATTCATGTGCTTATAATAGTGATAAATAGTGTTTAATAGTGGCTATTATATTGTGAGTAATACCTGATCTAATGAACATATATATATATATGACTGGTTGGTGGTGCAATAACCATCTTGAAAAATATGAAAGTCAATGGGACGGATCATCCCATATATGAAATGGAAAATAAACAAATGTTCCAAGCCACCAACCAGGTATACAATGTATATATATATAGTTTTTCTATAGTTATTTACTGGTTATATAAAAAAATGGCTATAATTATATATATATATACGTACATGATGCAAACTTACATGTACGTTTCGCAAGAAGGTTTCGTAAAAACTTTTAGAGGACTTATTCACCAGGATTATAAAGCAATATATGTATTACCCATATGCTCCATGGTGCTGGAATATTTACCAACATTTGCCCAAACAAAATCACCCAGTCATGTAGGTGAATATACCAGCACCATGGGTTGCATATGGGTTATACACAGGCATAGACCCCATAGATTCAAGATGGAACCCAAATTCTGTGGTGGCTGCAAGATGATTCTTCACATAGTCTGTGGCAAATGTCAGGGTTCCGTGTGACAGGGCTGTGAACACAAAGCGTTGGACACATATAGTACATCAATGATGAATTTTGCCCACAAACAACACATAACAAATGCTGGTTTATCTAGTAGAATGGCTACATGGGCAGGTGCCAATGATACAACTAATCTATCTAACTTCGTTTGGTCAAAGCCTTCTGCAAAGTAACCTGGCAGTGGGAAATGATGCTCTTGTTCGTAGACTTCATCACAAGTTCAACTCTGTATGTTTCTAGGTGATATTCCCCCTTTTTTGGGCATTTTGCCGATTAGACCCTAAAATTCTGATGGGTGAAGCCCCATGGTCCATTGCCCTTTGGATATAACGCATATAACTTATATAACTGGATTATCATACGGTATAGTTGGGTACCAGAAGATTGTTTAAGGGAGAAACACCAAAAACAACACTCACTAGAGAATCTTTATTGTTTCTTACCCTTTGGTTTTCTAACGTATAGAACATCACTAGGGTTTTACTAGGTCATAAATCAATATAAATCATCTATCAATGGGCCATTCTCCACATCAGAGGGTAAGCACTTCATCTGGCCTCCCGGAAGCGGAAGGTGGGCGTGTCCGCTGGCAGACTGTTGGTCCGCACATCCGTACAGGTTTCGGTGATGCGCACCTTGGTGCACAAAAAAGCGTCGATCCCCATAGCAACTGGATCTTGTTTTCGTTTGACCATAATGTGGGTAAAACAATGCCATAAACCACCCATGACTGGGAATGGTAACCATACCACCTTTAAAAATGGTGATTTGGGGGATGGTTTATGACATTGTTTTAACCACAGTAATTAGGACATAAATGTACATATAAAACATGGCTGGTCTGTATTTGAGATAGTCATGAAACCTTCTGGCAAACAATTTTGAAGAAGTTCATCCCTTCAACGGTTTCACATCTTGCCCGCCAAGACGCCACATAGGATGTCATGGCTGAGAGTTCTCGGATGATGCACTCCGTCTGATTTCGATAGATCAAGTCCTGAAGGGATCTGAAGGGCAGGATGTGCTGCGTGGCAGCGTGGATCTTTGCGCCCAAACTAAGATGTCTTTCAAGATTTTAGCACCAAAGGTGGACATTTGGCTATTGAAGAATACCGATTATACAGCATACATGATTATACCATATGTTTGGGGGATGAATATTCATGTACCAGCTATTCTGGTTTTCACATCTCAGAGTATCAGGGTTTTGACTGTTTTGACCCATAGACATTTGAGCGCATTCCACAAGTGGACGTAGGTACCCAGAATTGAAAATTACGAACAAAGATGGGAATGCAGCAGTTCTTCCAAATCTAATCCACCCAAATCTCCCAAAAACCAACAGTCTCCGACTCCAAGATGGACGAGCCGTCGATGAGAGGTTGCTTGAAAGTCATCTCATAAAGTTTCTTCTCAGGAAGCTCTTCCGACAGTTGACTCAGTATTCATTGCCACTAATTGATATATTCCGAGTTCCGAGGACTCCGAGGACCTTCAAATCTCTTCAAGAAACAGGATAGAACTTGCTGCATCCCTGGCACAGCCCCGTCCGCTTCTCCTGACATTACGCGGCCGAAGTCCACTCCACAGAGGAGGCCAAACGCCATTGGACCTGGCCCGAGGTTTCCTCAAATAGGGGCATCCCAAAATCCATGGCAAAATTCGACAATTGTATACACGTGTAAGTGTTTAAACCCATGGTAAACGGAGATCTCACATATTCTATAAGAAACCACCATTTCTTTATTACGCGTTTTTACACATATGAATACGGTGGTCCAACTACCCATCCAGCCAAGGTTACCTTTTAGGTTGACCCAAACGGATGGTACTGTATACAACTAGACCACATCACCCAGGATATGCGCTATATTCGAAACATAGGGGTGTCATACAAGTAAGGTGTATATAGTGTATCAATATCTATACAATATGGTACAATATGTATATATATATATATGGTAGATTTCAACAAATATACCCAGTTTCTTGGTCCAATTTGAAATATACTTGGTGGATCATCCCACTTAGTAAGTGGGTTATGACCATAGTTCTTTTGGTGGATTAACCCTACTTATCGCACTTTATCACTGGGGTTATAATCCACTTACCAAGTGGGATGAGCCACCACGTAATAGGATGTCCAAGAGTGCCACTCTGTTGAGCTAAGGGCTGACCTACTACTACCGTAGATAGTCCCAGATCCCCAACAAATGGCCCAACTTTATGGAGGCTTTCTAAAATACGGCTACCCCGAAATCATCCATATATAGATAGATTTCCCATTATAAACGATATATGTTGGGGTACCCATGGGTACCCACACTTTAGGAAACCTCCAAGTGATGGTTCATGAATCGGATATTTTAACAATGATTTATAGTCAAACTGTTAAACCATCAAAGATATGGGAATACACCTCCCAGTACTGTAATGTTGGGAAAAATAATTTCTTATAAGATCAAACACATTCCAATTTATGGGGGTTTTGCTAGTACTTACAACTGCTATTTCGGGCCATTTTTCTGCATCATTGTCCCATCTCTAAAATCCCGCCCCAAGTCCTTTTTTTTCCATTTAAGTAGGATGTTCCATCATAAACCATTCATTTTTATCCATTTTGGGGTACTTTATAAATGTCCCATATATACCATCCATTTTGGGGATTTTTAGGATATGGGGTACTTTATGGACAGCATTTATACCATCCGTTATAAACCATTCATATCCCAGATGTACCGCATGATGTACCCAAGTCGATAGCCACCTCCCAGGCATAGAAGGAACAGTCACTGGCTGAAGTGGAAGCGTCCCAGCCTTGGATTTTGGCTGATCAATGACTGAAAAAACGAAACACAAAAAACGAAGAAAGGTTGACTTCATCACTATTTGCAGTGGGATTTCAATGTTCAATATGCAATGTTTTTCCCCGCCTGCCAGGTGAGGGTTGTTAGATTTTATCACAGTTGTTCTCCTTCTCCTTCTCCTTCTCCTTCTCCTCCTCCTCGTCCTCCACTTCCAGGTCCACTTCCGCCACTTCCATGTCCTTGCCAACTCTTCGCCTAGCTCTTCGCCAACTTCCGCGCGCAGTGGGCACTGCTGGACCTCAACTGCCGGCTTCCGATCTGAGTGGGCACGGCTGGACCTCAACTGCAAGGGTCTGAGCGCAGTGGGCATCGCTGGACCTCAACCTGGGACCCCCCGAGCTCAGTAAGCACCGCGGACCTCAACCTGGGACCCTCCGAGCTCAGTGAGCACCGCTGGACCTCAATGGCCAGATAGAATGCCAGAAGATATGCCAGATAGAACGCCAGATAGAATGTCAGAAAGAATGCCAGAAGATATGCCAGATAAAGTGCCAGAATGATTGCCAGATAGAATGCCAGATAGAATGCCAGAAGGTATGCCAAATAGAATGTCAGATAGAATGCCAGAAGGTATGCCAGATAAAGTGCCAGAATGTTTGCCAGATAGAACGCCAGAAGATTTACCAGATAGAATGCCAGATAGAATGTCAGAAGATATGCCAGAAGATATGCCAGAACATATTGCAGAAGATATGCCAGAAGATCTGCCAGAAGATATGCCAGATAGAATGCCAGAAGATATGCCAGATAAAATGCCAGAAGATATGTCAGATAGAATGCCAGAAGATTTGCCAGTAACAAAACGTGTATATATGTTATGGTGGGGATAACTCGAAGTAAAGTAATGTTTGTTTCTTGTTTTTTTTTAACTGTGTTCTTTTATGATTTAGATAATGGAAAGGAACCGTGATGACAGATTTTTCTGGCTCAAGTAGATGCGCTTGTGGTATTGCCGTCATCTGTTTTCTTCCACCTGCCGGGAAAGTGCGACCGACTCTGATTTGCAAGCGTCCATTCTGGGGGTGTCACAGAAGCCATCAATAAGTTACTGGTTGGTGGTATACCTACCCCTCTGAAAAATATTAGTCAAATGGGAGTATTATTCCCAATATATGGAAAAATAAAAAAAAAATGTTCCATTCAAACCACCAACCAGATTCCAAATTCACCGTTATCGGACTGTTATCCGCCATCAGCGCGAAGTTCGGTTTGAGCACACGAACTGGAGATTCAGCCAGCGCGATTCACGTAAATTTATAGACATAAATGGAAACTTGGCTGGTCTTTGATTTGCAATTATGATCAATAATTTCGATCCAGCATGTGCACGTCGATTTCGCTCAGTGGGATGAGTCTTAAAACAGTTACCTGCAAGAACAATCAGCCAGTGGGAAAAAAAGAGAGCACACCAACTGACACTCTGTACATTACATCCGGCATTTTATCTGGCATCTTATGCGACATATATGGCATTCTATCTGTCACATATTTTGACTTGTTACCTGGCACTTTATTTGGAATTGTGTCTGCCTGTCTATATACGTATCTGGCATTTTAACTTGCTCATACTTTTTCTTTACCTGCCATTCTGAGCCATTCTGACGTATTTTCTGACATGTAGTCTGACGTTCCAATCCTCTAGTATTCTCACATGATACCTGGCTATCTGATGGTATCTTTTCCAGCTTATCTTTCATACGCACTCACAAGGGAACTCTGGCATTCTGACCACTGTTTTTCGAGCCAAGTCCCAGGCCGATGTGGACGTCACTTTGGCTCAGAACCGTCATGGTGATGTTCACTGGGCTTCCAGCAAGGGCCTCGACGGGTCAAACGGTGAACCATGGTGAACCAAACTACCAATAGAAATGAAACGACATATGAGAGCCAGCAAAATGAGAAAAAATCCTCGTTCTATTGCTTCAGGATAGTTCTAGGATCTATCCCAAATGTGGATTCTTCCAAAATAATATATATATACTTATATTCATTTTATTGTTTAATATAATATTATGATATCTATGGACATATTTGTATCACCAAACATGAGGTAAAGCGGGCCCAATCCGAGCTCAACAAATTCTGAGCCCCCCTGACGCCGCGGATCAGAATCGGATGCGTCCAGTTGTACAAGGAATCCAGAGCCGAGTCCTGCGTGTTTCGTTCAATGTGTCAATCTGTATCCTTTCAAAGGCGATTCCTCGGCTTCAAAAACATATATATATATATGTATGTATTGTAATGTGATGTAATGTAATATCATGTAATGTATTGTAATGTTTTGTAATGCATTGTAATGTCATGTCATGTAATGTATTGTAATGTGATGTACTTCATTGTAATGTGATGTAATGTAATGTCATGTAATGTCTTGTAATGCATTGTAATGTCATGTAATGTAATGTAATGTATTGTAATGTCATGTAATGTAATGTAATTGATTGTAGTGTGATGTAATGTAATGTCATGTAGTGTATTGTATTCTGATGTAATGTATTGTAATGTGATGTAATGTAATGTCATGTAATGCATTGTAACGCCTTGTAATGCATTGTAATGTCATGTAATGCAATGTAATGTAATCTATTGTAGTGTGATGTAATGTAATTTTAATGTACTAATGTCATGTAATGTAATGTATTGTAATGTAATGTAATGTATTGTAATGTGATGTAATGCAATGTCATGAAATGTATTGTAATGTCTTGTAATGCATTGTAATGTCATGTGATGTAATGTAATGTATCGTAAAGTAATGTGATGTCATGAAATGTGTTGTAATGTAATGTCATGTGATGTATTGTAATGTAATGTATTGTAATGTTATGCAATGTAATGTATTGTAATGTAATGTATTGTAATGCAATGTCTTGTAATGTCATGTAATGTAATGTCATGTAATGTAATGTATTGTAATGTAATGTATTGTAATTTAATGTATCGCAATGTAACGTAATGTCATGTAATGTAATGTCATGCAATGTAGTGTCATGCAATGTAGTGTAATGTCATGTAATGTAATGTTTTGCAATGTCATGTATTGTAATGTAATGTCATGAAATGTCATGTAATGTAATGTATTGTAATGTTTTGTAATGCATTGTAATGTCATGTCATGTAATGTATTGTAATGTGATGTACTTCATTGTAATGTGATGTAATGTAATGTCATGTAATGTCTTGTAACGTATACATGTATTGTGATGTAATGTAATGTATTGTAATGTAATGTCTTGTAATGTAATGTCATGTACTGTAATGTCATGTAATTTTTATGTAATGTCATGTAATGTAATGTATTGTAATGTAATGTATTGTAATGTAATGTGTGTGTGCATGTATACATAGGTGTGTCACAGTGCCATCAGAGATTTGCAAAGCATCAATAGTTTGATATCAACCAGTGGGACGAGAATGACAATTTGTCGCGCTGAGTCAAGGGTTCTGACTGACCAGAATCAAGGTTCTTATGATCATTTACCTGTTGTTAAAGGGGTAAACAAACCCCTCTATTAATCAACCAACCAATGGGAATTTGAGACATTTCTATGGTTCAAATTGGCAATTTCAGGCTTTGACCAGAACAAAAACACTTATTTTTGGTCATGCATACCCGTTGTCGTCGTGTGAATGGTTCACAAACCCACATGGTGTTTGTCTGAACTTCGACATAACCAGGTTTATCAGCATATCTATGATTCTAAATTCATTATATGGATAGATAGATATATATATATACAGATATATTTTCAATTATAGTTATACATACCATATTATACCATATTATACCATATTGTACCATATTGTACCATATTATACCATATTATACCATATTATACCATATTATACCATATTATACCATCTTATACCATCTTATACCATATTATACCATATTATACCATATTTTACCATATTATACCATATTGATTAATGATTATATATATATATAGATTAATCACCATAGCAAAGATATACTGCAAAAGGATGCTCCCAGGGACATGAGGAAGGGATACACCATCCCAGCCGAGGTCATGTGTCCTGGCTGCCAGTATGTAATCACTTGAACATATTAAGCTCAAAAAGTAATTATCAATGGTGGATGGATATATATATATATACTAAATAAATAAATAGATTACTGAATACATAACTATGTATATATATAATTATATAACTTAATTGAACTTAATTGTATATATTCCAAAATATAATATTGTATAATATAGTATAGCAAATGGAAAAACACACAGACTCAGCATGAACAAAACAGATTTACTACCCAAGGTGATGTTGCGTGGCATTTGGTTCACACAGCCCAGCTGGAAGTAAATCATTTCCAGCCACCGTCACCGATGCATGAACGCTACGGGGTTTTGACCACTGCCCGCCCGTCTAAGACTGGAACAAATATCAGATTTGCTAGTTTAGTGGATGTTGACGGTACTGGTGTTGACCACCATAGCTTCGATTGGAAGTCCCTGATCTCATTTAAGGGTAGTTCCTTTCCAAGAAATCGTAACGACTTTCGAACGACTTGATCCCTTTCGACTTGGTAACCCAGCGACTTGGACTGGGCCCCAGACTTCGCAAAGCTCGGCAAAGCGCACCTGCTGCTTCGTTGGCGACCATTGGCAACAAAACACCCGACAAATCCCCACAGTATACGGGGTGCAGCTATCCAAGCCGATCCCCATGATTTCTCTTGGTTCAATCCTCGTTTCAATCGCGATGCTATTTATATCATTTATATAATGTGTCTTAATTATTAATTTGGTGTTCGGAAAGGCTGTAAAATCTCTTGAACTTTAGAGATCTACCAGGATTATCCATGATTCATGCCACATTGGATGTTTGACCCAGCGACACGGGTCCCAGTCCATGATAGTCACTCTGTCCGTGAACAAATCCCCACCGAGCCACAGCTTAACTTGAGGAGATTAAGTGTCAATTAACAGCAATGGGAAAAGGAACAAGTACATACCAATCGGTTTGAGAAATGTGTATGTTTCTATGTTCGAACCCCCACTGGACATGGATGAATTTGGATCAAAATGGCTCACATTTCATATTTGGCCTCATCATGTCTGATCCAGCTGGGCTTTGGGACCGAACACCAGCAGCCACGCCTGGTAATACTGCAGGAAATCCAAGTCGTCCACCTGCAGAAATCCACGGCTCTCCAGGTTGCGGGCAATCACTTGCGGGCAATCACAATCTTCCTTATGAAATCCCCCCGCATATGGGCCACCTTAAAATGAATAGATCACAATAGAAAATCATAGATTCAAGATATATATATATAGAGAGATTTATTGAAAAGTTGCTTGCCAATATAAATATGTATATATATACATATATATGTACAGAATAGATAGATATATATATATATACACATACAATACAGATATATATATATATACATAGATATACTAAACCAGTGCTTCACTTTGCTTTGATCCAAGGCATGCCAGCACGATCTCCCGCCTGGCAGCTGTGCTGCTGCCGAGAACCTTCATAAAAGCAGTGGGTCAAAGGCCTCGGTTCCAGAGCAAAAAACATTCTGAAGTGCGGGTAGGCTTGATTTGCACAGTGTTTTGTTGATTTCCGGAGGGTATTTGCTGAGCTGAGTCATGATGTTCCTAGCGTTTTGGTGTTTTTGACTTAAATCACGCACCAGTCCACAGCTGCCTCACTATGATCCAAGTTGCACCCACCTGTACATTGAAAAGATGTTCAAAACCGGATGACAAATCTGTGGATGGATGCATATCTATTCAACTGTCTGTCGGTCTGTCTATCTATCTACCTATTTATCTATCTATCCATCCATCTGTCTATGTATCTTAAAAAAAATATGCATCTATATATATATATATATATGCCGTGTATATATATATACATGGGTATGTAATGTTTATTCATATCACTTGAAGGCGGAATGATATGTGAACATGTGCATATGTGTATATGTGATTAAATGTGCAGACTGTATCTTGACAACATCTTTGCAATGCCCTCCCTGAAACGCCCTTGCTGGATCCATGGGTTTGATGGTTTCAATCCTTGTTGATGTCCCTTCCCAGGGGGGGAACACCCAGTAAAACAACCAACCTTCATGAAATCCTATGATAAACCATGATGTCCATGAAACATCGCCATTAAAAAACATAACTGAGTGGATAGATTTCACCACAGTTACAGGGGCGCCATATCCCAACTCAGGGTTAGAATCCCATAGTTATATTCAGTATAAGTATATGTTCACTATCCATTATTATTACCATACTTATACCATAGTTATCAAAGTTATCTCATGTTATATCAATAATTAAACCATAGTTATCATAGTTATACTGAGCCTATGACCATACAAGGTGGTGCCCATAAGATAGCTAACTTGCTTCATAACTCTAATTTCACTACTCCGAACCGTTAAAGTCGACCAATTTAACAGAATTGTGTCAAATCTCATTGGGACGCCGTTGGATCAGGAAGTCAAATAAGTTGACCAAAAGCAAGGTCAACCCCAATGGGACGCCGATGTACGACAAACTCTGTTTTGGCAAGTTTTGCTGTGAAAGATGAGGAAACACCTTGTGGACGCAACTCCCAAAACATCTTCAAAGTGGGATTAAATACAACAAAAAACACTCATGTCATATTGGGATGCCAGTGATTCACCACATGTAGATTGCAAGTGATCACAAGAAAAGCTTCTTTTACCTGTTGGATTGTGTAGGGACACGGTTACCCTCTGGTAAACTAACGTAACTATGGAAAATCACCATTTTTAATGGGTAAATCCACTATAAATGGCCATTTTCAATAGCTATGTTAGTTTACCAGAGGGTAGCTGTTTCGAACGACGTCCGAACGACGTCCGAACGACGTATCGAACGACGTCAAAGGGTATCAAAACCCAGACCTTTGGATTCATTTGCTTTCATGTTCCTTTCATTCTCCTTTCATTTCCTCTCATTTCCATTCATTGTCCTTTCATGCGATCATGAAAACATGGTATAGACACAACCTAAATACGAAGTCACACAAAGTCGCTGGCAATGCAAAACCCACGAAAAAGTCAAAAACTGAAAAAAACAAACTTGCTAGACACAAGCTGGACGCAACATTGGTCAACTTTAGAAGTTGCGTGCGCGCAGCTGGGACGCTCATTTCATTGAAATCGTTCAACTTTAACAACTCAGAGTAGGACTTGTGGTAGATATATCGAAGTAGCTAATGACGTTATAAATCAACTTATAACTGGCGGGGGCACCACATTGTATGACTTATTTAAGACTTATTTAAATTATGTTATGTCCATACTTAAACTCATATGTTATCATAGTTATGCTAAGCATATGACATCATATTTGTTTCCATATGAATTATAGCCTCTGGAACATACAAGAAACTATGGAAAATCACCATGTTCAATGAGTAAACTGAGTAAACCCACTATAAATCACCATTTTCAATAGCTTTTTCTATGTTTACCATGCCAGGTATCCATACAGAACCCCCCTGGCTTTGGCGTGCAGCCCCTGGCGTGCAGCCCCTCTGAGTGGTGCCAACAGCCAGCTCTCAAGACTTCCATCTGGTGCCACCTGGTTGGAAAATCCCCAGCGGCAAATGCCAAGGAAATCTGTGGCTGCATATCAAATAGGTAAATGGACATATTCCATCATATAACATCATATACCATCAAATTCCTATACATATCATACTATATTATACATGTATAATATATATATATACCATCTGGTTATTTAACATAGCCATGGAAAATGGCACATTTATAGATGGTTTACCTATTATAAATGGTGATTTTCCATGGCTCTGTTAAATAACCAAATGGTAGGTATATATAATATGTGTACAACTATAAGCCATCCATTAGGTGGAGTAACTTGTTGTAACTTGCAAAGAAAAAGGAGCAACACAACCTGGTTGGTGGTTTCAACCCCTCTGAAAAATATGAGAGTCAGCTGGGATGATTATTCCCAATATATGGAAAATAAAAAATGTTTGACACCACCAACCATATATATGAAATATGTGTAAAAAGAATCTATCTATATATATATGTATATATATGTATACTATGTTGTGGTATGACATGATTATGATTATGATGCGATATAACATGATATGATATCATATTATATGTAATATTGATAGTTAGAGACACATACTAACACTGTGTATACATATCTATATATATATACATAAATAACATTCTACAGTCCTCTATACAATGTAAAAAAAACACATGCCATGCGGTTATGCATGTACTTACGTATGCATGCCTATTTGTGGATGAAAAAAAGGGCTCACAAGACCACAGATTTTAGTCTATGTTTAGTATCAACCATTCATTTTCAGATATGGAGGTTTCCAAATTCGGGGTATCCCCAAATCATCCATTTCCACATGATGTTCTACTATAAGCCATCCATTTTGGGGCACCCCCAGTGTAGGAAGCTCCATACTTGTTTGACCTATACCCATTTAGGTTCAGCATGGTTCAGCAGCGAGGTATTCCGGGGACCTTCGCCAGTTGAAGATCCCACCGCCTCAAGCGATCAGGGATAAGATTGGGGATACTGTGGATGGTTGCGAAATCCTGCGCCAGTTGGTAACTATTGGTAGGTATGAAACACTGTAAATAATGGAATTATAATGGGATAAACCATCCACCAACTGGCGCAGGATTTCGCAACCATCCACAGTATGTCTTCACCAAGCAACATGACGTTTCAATGGGATATCATGCAGGAATTGACCAACTGGGAAGTTGACACTCCATGGCTTTGATGCTTTGGCTCAACAATATTTTAGCGCAATGATTTCATTTCATTTGCAGTGACCAGTTCTACTATGACATCGATTTGTACAGTAATTTCATACCAAGTATCATTATATCATTTCACTTAACCATTCGTTTAATATGCATTAAGATCCATTAATATCGACGAATCACTGGATCATATGTTTTTTAAGTCTCTTCATTCGATGGCCGGCCCTTCCAAGGAAACATCTTGATGGATCTTCATTCTGATGGTACTATCTCTAAACAGCACCATTTCAATTTGTGTCATGGTCAAGCTACATAGGATTTGGATGGATTTATTGATATTTATGGATTTTAAGGTCATCCCGGGAGCAATTCTATGACTGAAATTTAGTTTCCTAGAAATTATGGTATGACCATCGTTGGTATCACCGTCACCCAATATGGATATCTAATGATGTCTCATCTATCTGTTGACCACGGCACCGACATCTGAGGCACCCAACGAGAAATTGCAGGAGGACACGTCGCCCGAGAGATAACTCTGTGGACCCCATGAGAGTGTCCTCAGCAGATTTGGCCGTGACATAAACTCGTGTCGTCTGGGGGTATCAAAACCATCAAGAAATGAGAATATGATGGGTATATATAATGAGATATAGTTGGATGTATAGAACATTATATAATCCAACTGGATTTGAGTATTACAGTGGGTTGTAATGGTTATATTTGGTTGATAGCAAAACTATCACTTTTGAGTGGCAACAAAAGAACATTATTCTAATCGGACTTGCCCACGTGGAAACACAAAATGTATTTTTCCAGGATGTGTGAAATAGATGTTTTATCCAGAGCTTGGAATAGCTTGATTGTCACGTTTCTGTTCCACGCGTCATGAAGAAACTCTGAATAGTTGGGTGGACAACAAGATTACGCTCTGGTAAACTAACATAGCTATTGAACATGGCCATTTATACTGGTTTTTCCCATGAAAAATGGTGATTTTCCATAGTTATGTAAACGTTTACCAGAGGGTACTGTTTGGCCAACAAAACCAGATCATGAAATTCTTGATGTGGGGGTTGGAGTCCTTTTTGGGGAATCGGAGATGCACATGACTGCAGATACAACATGGGCAGCTCGCCAGCAACAATGAACCAGTGACCACCACAAATATCCCCTTACAAATGGATGAACGACAATCAATGTGCCATACATAGCATATTTAGAAGGTGCTCTGGCTACCCATGTTTATAGCATGAGCCTTGGGAAAATACGCCATTTCTCTAACGGGAATGTTCACCTATACATCAGGTCATGGGGATTTCCACCATGTTCGATCCCATGGGGCAATTGAAGAACAATCACATTGATCCCGCAGGTATGAAGCCCATAAGACCACCGTAACCATCAGTGATGTTCTAGAGCAAATCCCCTGACGGCTGAAGTTTTTTTGATGGCACAGCAACTCCAGCAGGATCCATGATGTTCCTATGTCTTGGTAGGTCTTGGTTGTTTCAGGTCGAAACATCAATAAACATCACAGGCGATCGCAGCCCAAAGACAGCGTTGCAGGAGAGAAGGAGTTGGCCTGCCATATTCACAACAAAAACAGGGCGAGACGACCGGCTTGAAGTCGATCAAGCTGCTCCATCTATGCTCCATGCAGCATGGCTATGGCCCAAAATAGCCCATTGATGTATAGATATAACAGCATGGAGCATTTTGGTGACCCAAGTTCCAAACTGCTATCATTGGATGCTTTGGCAATATCTGACTTTCGTACACCTGTGGGGCTTAGAGGCGGAGTGGCAGCCTCCCCTCAAACAAAAAATCAAAAGGTGAAGCATCTGACGGATTTTCTCAATTTCAGGTTTTGGGCAATTAGTTCTCTTTCGCCGGTCACAGGCCATCCTTACCTGAGGAATGGATGGAAATCTGGTCACATCTTGCAATCTCCAACGCCGAGATCATCCGATGCTGCTTGAACCCTTCTCGAATACCATTCGAACAACCCTAAACCCAGCGGTGCCAACACTTTTTCAACAATCATAACCGTCCCATATCATCCCATAGGGTGCCTCAGAATCATCATGAATTCATCACCCATATGCAACCCATGGTGCTTGTATATTTACCTACAAAACTGGGCCATAAAATCGGGGTAAATGTAGGTAAATATTCCATCCATTGAGCATATGGGTCATGAATCATCCGGGATGCTCCCCAATTTCGGACGATGTGGCGCCTCATAGATCTGTGGCATGTTGGCCGGCCACTCTGAGGGACTGCAGGCGCGATCACCACCGAACCTGGCACGATCATTCCACTTGGTGCCTGAAAATGGAAGATTTGCCTGTAATCTATGGCATTCTATGGCCATTTCTACGGGGAAAGTGATGAGAGTGATGGGAAAAGCATGGGATTTTGGGACAAACCCACTTCGAAACTGCTTCGGACCTGACTGGTGTGGAATTCCTTGCTGATGGGTTGTGGCAATCCCCAACATGCTCATCAACTTGTCAACAAACCGTTGTTGGAACTGCCCAACTGTGGTTTAACAAATCTGAGATAGGAGACTTATTACATATACCAGGATTCTACCACTGGTTCACTGCTTCCCACAGATCCAAGGGATATTCATATCCAAAAAAACATGTTGGTTTTCCATGCCATCATGTAGTGTGTACACTTGAAGTGCTATAATTTATAAACCATGTTTTCTTGACATTTCTTGACCCCCACAGGACTATCTATATTTGATCTATCAGCATGGTTTATCTATTCAGAGATGATTCCTACAATGTGGGGCCCCCCAGTTATAAGTTGGTTTATAAACTCCATTAACTATTGTTATAGGTGATATAAGTATCATAAACCATCATAGTTATTGAAGTTATTTGCACCAGCTTAGCTATGGTAAATGGGGGCCCCACATTGTAGAGTGCCCCCCAAGCGCGGGCCAGCGCAGCATACCCGAGCTCCCCACGACGCACAGTCCACTTGGCAACTTCCGGAGTCACAAAGCCACGGCCTCCGGCAATGATGGATCAAGCAATGGCTGAAGTATTTCCCTGGATGTGTATGATGTGTATGATGTATAGATATAGTTAAATAGCATATGAGATATATGTGTAAATATCAGATGAGATACATGTATAAATATCATATGAAATATTATATATATATTATAATATATCTACGTACCGTAATTTCACAACACAGAGCCATATCGTATTAGAGACATGCTATCTCGCCTAGAGACCCGCAAAAGCACCTACCAAATCTGCAGGCGAATCCCCAGCCCAACCATCCCAGGCATTAATTAGCTCACAATTGCGGCGACACATTCGCGGGGATTGAAACGCGCAACAGTTGGGCACTGGGGTTCACAAGCATTTGTTGATCATTGTTTATTGCTGTATATGATAAAGTATTTTGATGAATCAGCACTGCCTTGTTTGCCTTTCCTTCAATGTCATCCGATATCAGCTAGGAAGTACAACAAAAACTCGGAGTGGAACTTTCTACGTAGAGTTTATGTTAACCTTCCCTCCTAGTAACAAAATGCCATGCATTTATAAATAAATTGTATAAATAGAAAAAACATGATTTAATGATGGAACATCCACATTGCTGGGTTGAACAATCTGTCCTACAAAAACTCCTCAAACCCCAAAGCCACGACGGCACAAGCCTCTCTGGGGGACACCGTTGAAGGCTGCTGCAGCCTGGGAAAACAACCGAACTGGGGACGTATCCAATGGCAATTTAACATACAGCCATGGAAAATCACCATGGTTAGTAGGTTTAAAAAAACAAATTGCTATCTGTAACAAATTAATTCAAATTAGCGAATTGCAAATCAAAGCAAATAACATATCGAAAAATATAAACAATCACCGCTGTTAATTCATAAAACATCGAACTAAATGGTCATCGATACCATATGAGCAAGGCTAGGGATCATCATTTTTGGACAAACCAACTTGATACATAAAATGAATGGGAACAACACATAGATTGTGAAACTGAGGGATGTAAGTTATAGGGATACGCTATGATATCAGCAGAACATGTTTTTTGTTTTTACAAAAGTGGGATATTGGTATATTGGACCAAGCAAGCATGGATATCGCCATCGCAGCAAGAGAATTCCGAACTGCGAATGGTGCCAACCAATTGAGACAATGAAGCTGGCCTTTGATTACTAGTGATTCAGAAAACGACTCAGCCTGGCTGAAAACAAATGTCGTGGTGTATCAGACAGCACGTTCTTTATGAAACTCGCAGCATCGATGCACCTGGCAATATCGCTAGAAACACAGGTGGCATACTCAGCCATAACATGGATAGCTATGTGCGAATGAACACTGAAAACCGGCAGACTCAAAAATGCATTGCACATGGTGCAACCAAATCCACCACATGCAAGGTTTGGTGGGTCCAGCGGTATACATGTTGTAGTCATGTAGTCTTACTTCGAAGACGCAACACGGCGCTAAGGGCAATTTAATTTACGACGTAAGCTGCGGTCATCAAAAAAAACACGGCCCATTGGAAGATGTGTCCAAACCTCAACCATTTGCCATGTTGCACAACATGTTGCAACAACCATATGAATGTGAGATACCCAAGCATAAACCTACTATTTAGGGATGGTTTATACCATAAAAAATTAGGAACGGGGATACGTTCGCCAATCCCATCCTCGAAGCCAGTGGCCAGAACTCTCGAATGAGTTGATATCTGTTAAGAAATCAAACCACGACATATGTGGTGAACGGTATAATGTTGGCTTTTGCTATGTTGATATGGACCCGCGCTGATCTAAACCAATCGAATCCCTTACACCAAAAAGATTTATATAAGATGATGGAACAAACACTATGTGTTTTCTTAGCCAATCTTCGGCACCCTGCCGATTCAAGAATATCTAAAGTAGCTGACAGGTCATGCAGAGCATCACATTAAAGTACAAACAAACATACCCGTAGGTTTGATGCTTACAACTATATGTATACATGTGATATATCTATATTTTTATGTGTATATATATACATAATATCAAAACAAAATAGCTACAAGTTACAAGCGCTATAAATGTCGTATAACATAATTAAATAATATAGTAAACAACATCAACAACCTGATAAACATATAAAAATGCAAAATAATCATATAATAGATGTAATAAACATTCATTATAATATCATCAACAGAACATCAATGATTCAATGGGCCCCCCTGCAGGATTCATCGGCCGTGAAGTTGCAGAAACTTCCATCCGAGCCTCGAGACAGCACAGCGTTTGGCGCGCGTTTGGACGATCCAAAAAGGATGTTCAACCAGATAGGAAGCCCCAAAAAAGAAGATTATATAGGAAAACATGTCATCTCTTGAACAAGATTTGTTTACTGATCGATTTTTCGTTTTGTTGTTGACCGAAATACGCTTTATCTAATATTTTTTAAATGCTGGCCGTGTCTGAGAGGAAAAAACAGGTTCTTTACCAGAAAATTCACTCTACCCTGGATTCAATGCTAATGGAACAGCCCATCCGTGGTTGTCTGGATACAAGGGAAAACCAGTTTTTTTAATCAGAAACACTGGGGATTTGAGCAACAAAGATGGTGGCAAAATTGGCAAAACCAGAAAAAAAAACAAGGTCACGCCGCCTGTAACGGCCCTGCTGTTTTTTCACCTTTTCAGTCGCAGATTTTTCTGTGTCGCATGACCCTCACAGCGTTTTCTTTGTCTGCCCATTTGTTCAGTAGCTCATTTTGGTCTGCGTTTTACAGTGTTTTGTGTCTGTTAAGTCGTATTTCCAATGCGTTTAATCATGAATTTGAATTCCTAAACGCAAAAAAAATGGAATGTTTCGTAACAAGCGTGTAGACATACGACATGCGACATGGAGAACAGCTCAGGCAGTCCAAGTCTTGTGCGCTATCTTTCCTAAGCCTTTGAGCTGGTGCTTTCCAAGTGTATTGGATCGCCAGACAAAACTGTACACATACTCGTTAATTTGTTCATTCAGCAGTCCATTGGGCGTCTTAGAACACAGTTCCTTTGGGATATACCGTTTCAAGGCTGACCATTTCTTGTCAATGCGCTGCGTGCCATGCGTCTTGTGTCCCCGTTTACACGTTTTACGTGTAAATTCCATTTTGACATGATTGACCTGAAAACATTTTCGTCTGGCAAGAGACAAGAGACATGTTGCAGCGTAGCATCAAGAGCGTCTGGCAAGTGACAAGAGGCATGTTGCAGCGTAGCATTCAGAACGTCTGGCAAGTGACAAGAGACATGTTGCAGCGTAGCATCAAGAACGTCTGGCAAGAGACAAGAGACATGTTGCAGCGTAGCATTAAGAGCGTCTGGCATGTTACAGCGTACCCCTTGCCCCCCCCACCCCCCACCCCACCCGGTTCCCCAAAAAAAACACACTATTCTTCGTGCACAAGGTCTAACTAACGGGCAATACTTCTAACTAACGGGCAATACTTCTAACTAACGGGCAATACTTCTAACTAACGGGCAAAGCGACACCACAGCAAAAAGTATATTCCCCAGGGCCGGTAGGGGCGTCGTGAGCAAAAACAAACATGCGGAATTTGAAGCACGCAAGAAGGACTAAGAAGGACTCCATTTTTTAAACACCATACCATAGTTTGATCCTCCAAATATGGGTATCTAACTGCCATTGTTGAATCTAGGTACCTTTCAACCAAAACAATTTATATAGTTGGGTAATGCATAATATGAAAACCCAAAGCTGGGCAGTGAAACTGTTCTGTCTGCTCCAAAATTCATCATCATTTCTGGTGAAGCTGTTGTGAGATGGGTGTACAACACACAACCATGAGATATCATGGAATACTACCCATCCAAACAGATTCATATGTATACTGGTTGGTGGTTTTAACCATCTTGAAAAATATTAGTCAATGGGAAGGATTATCCATTTATATATATAATGGAACATAAAACATGTTCCAAACCACCAATCAGGATATATATATATATATGATTATCTGAAGTGAAGTCAACTTCAACCGTGTAAATGAATCTAGGTCCAGCATAATCTCAACAAGGCTTTGAATGTGATCATCAACTTCACACTCGTCAAAAGATCTGATCATCCAGTGGTTTATCATCATTTTTTTGCCTTCTGAACATTGCCATAAATGGCGTGTACAGACCCACTTGTGAATTTTGTGGCAAACACGATCAAACACTGATTGCACATCTGAAGCCAAGCTTCATTCAGCCATTTGAGTGCGATTGGAATGTCTGGACCACTTGCATCCTGGGAAAACAAGCTTACCACGATACGTGGGTTAGTGAGAGAATCAACCAGCTGAAGTTCGGAAAATATGACTTACTGGTGCTAAACGTAGGGATTGGGGGTTGCTGGGATGATTATTACTAGTGATGCTGGATCATTCCCGAAAATTCCCTGCGAAGCAAGCACCAGTAAGATGAGCCTGACTTTGCAATTCAGAGTCAAACAACCAACATATCTTGTACCATCTGGTTATTTAACATAACCATGGAAAGATCCAGCATTTTTAAGTTCGGTAAATTTCTATTTCTATGGGCATAAGTGGGCCATTTCCCATGGCGAACGGTTAAATAACCAGAGGGTAATTTTGGAAGACGGGCAAACATGGTATGCCCATTGCGAACATTGGCTGGGATCCGAGCAAGCCATTTACGGTAAACTTCCGCGGTGCCGCAGCATTTTACCCTGCATTGTTTTTGTCTTCAAGTAAGCCACATGATTCACTTGGATAATCGAAGGAAGTTTAGAAGTCAAACTTCCGACAATATGGACAGATGAAAAGCAGAGCAGGGCAGAGGCAGAGAGAAGAGGAAGATTAGAAGAGAGAAGATCAGAAGAGAAAGAGTAAGAAGACAGAAGATACAGATGCGCGAAAAGGTAGGAAGGTCGCGAAACACTGTGTTTTTCCAATGATTTGTGGCTCCGGAGGGTCGAAAAGTAGGCTCGCTAAAGCGGCGGGTGCGGAGCCA